ACACTTCTTTCCTGAGCAGGGTGCAGTCTACCTGTTTCCCAGTTCAGTCTGGTTTACTGCACTGCTTCCTAATCTGCTGTCCATCTATCTTCTTCACAACTTACATTTTGTGACCAAATTACCTTCTGCCTTCACAGTATTTCACAATGCTCTCTATTGGCAGGAATCAAAGGCTATGAAACCTCTATTTACAAGAAAAGGCTGCTGTTCACAGCATGTTCCTAAAGTTTTTTAAACAGCTTGTCCTGCAGTATCCTTTTAATTACTCAAATATGTTGGCACATTTAAACCAATTCCCAGAGGCAAGATAATTCTGCTATGTGAAGAAGCCTTAGCTATCTGACTTGGTAGTGTCTCTAGAAAGCTGCTGCCATGGCAGCATTGCCTTCTTTTATTTATCAACAGCTGTGAACCTTTAACAAGTTTATTTTCACTGCTTCCTGATTTTGGCAGCTTTGCATAACCCTTGCTCCACAAGCCTACGCTATTTCCCTTTTTTCTTACATCTCCACAATTCCTAACTAGCCACAGCCTATTATTATTCCGATCATGTGTTATTCTGCCCTTAAGTCACACCTCTGAATAAAACCATGTTCATTCCTCTTCTTCCCAGCCTCCAATTTTCACAGTCTTATCTCATCTGGAGATAACCTGTGAATGATCTCATACAGATAATTTATCTGTTCTCATCTTTCATCTGAAACGATAAACACATTGTGTCTTTTTTTCTCAACTACAGACCCCACTCCAAATCATGAACGTTTATATTACCCTTAAGCATTTCTTGGCAACCTCTTGAAACCTCAGGTCAGAGCTCCAGGCACTCAAGTTATGCGTGTGGTGAACTACCTTATGTAGTCAAGTCACATCCTTCATCCATTACATTTTTCTGCTATTGGGAACGTTACTATTCCAACATTATCTTAAGGTCTGATTAACATTTTATACTTCTATAGCAACTCTCACCCAAGGTTTTCAAAAGCATTTACAGCATTAGTCAGATTTCTCGTAGATATAGAATTTTATGGGTGAATTGTGCTACAGAGGCACTGAATGACCTCCTAGAATAACATCAGCCATGTGTGACACAGCCAATAATATAACTGAGCAATATCCTATCACTGGCAATCGATACTCTTTGAAGGACTGACTGTGCACCACCTAGCAGAAAGTCCTGAAAATGCCAACTGTCAATTTGAGCTGTAATCCACTATTATGCTTGCTAGTGTATTGTTTACCAGACCTCAGAGGAAATTAATCATGCCCGTGTCTACCCATACCAGTAGAATTTCTTAGAAGAATCACAGACTATGGTCCTGCAGAATGATTATGTCTTGGAGGGGAGAGGTCAAAACCAAGATGCTAAACACAGTAAGAACAAAATCCCTTTCTCTAGGTTTATGAGATTAATAAGCTCAAGATCTGCTTAGCAAAGAAATGCTCTTCTTCACTTTCACAGCACTGTGGGTGGTATTTTACAACAGAAGTAGAAATTCTGGCAAAATACTGATTACTTTATTTCCGCTATAGTTTAATTCAGCCACAGCCCCCAAAGCTGCTCATTAAGCCCCACTCTGCTTTTTCCTATGTACCATATTTATAAAGATGACCTTGAAACTTTCTCTGAAAGCATCTCCTTCGTGTTGGGAGAAAAAGCTTACTGACCACCTCTTTCAAAGTGTTATATTTGAAAGTGAGCTGACCAGCTGATCAGAAATCCTATATAGAAGTGTGTAGGAGAAACCTGCAGGAGGTCATTCATCTAAGTAGCAAAAATGTAGTGAGGTCATTCAGTAGTGATAATTTAATGACGCCATAACTCTGACTTCCCCCCCTCCCCTTACAACTATCCCCCCAGTAATTAGCCTTAGATTATTTCTCAGAAGATAGACCACATTCTCTACAGGCAATTCGCAATCCCTCTGGTAGCAGTTAAGACTAAAAATGTTAAAAACTAAACATGTCAAATGTCATGTAGACAGTACCCTTCTTTTCTTGTCTGGTGGAGTTTAAATACACTTTTACAGAAATTAATCCTGCTGTGCTTAACAGTGCAGTTGTGGCAAACGGCACGAAATAAAGGTTAATGGAGCCCTGTCTGGCTGTGCGACCTTGCATGGCTCAGTACGACTGCCTCAGATGTGAACTTGCTGAGCCCAACCTTTTATAAGCTTTGCCCTCAAGAGAACTAAGCAAGCCAGTCAACAAGATAGTGAAAAAAAACCCCAGCAAATATGAACAGCACTTTAATTAATGAATACCCTTCTTTCCTCTGTGCACAGAATATCAATTCTTTGCTGGTTCTTAGTCAGAGGAGTTCAATTTGATACACTGAATTTCACTGCTGTGTTAAAAGTTTTACACGCTTACAAAAGAAGCACTTTTCCATCGCAGTCACGCTTGGCTGACCACCTGCCATGAGCTGTACACACAGGATCCACCATTTCAGTGAGGAAGGTGCTCTCACGCAAGGCACGGCTACAATTTAAAACCTTCAAGATTTAGATTGTGAGTAAGAAGGACTGTAGATATGCACACAGCTCAGCTTGCTTCTTTATAAAATCTTAACCCCTCACTGCTCTTACAGTGCTGCTAACTATTCTCTCCATGGTATAACACACTTTCGACAAGGGAGCAGTGACCAAGATGGGGCTGGTACTTGCATCATGGGCTGCAGCAAAACAGACAGGTAACAAATATGCCTCAGAATATGCTAGTGCACAGATACAACCATATCAAGCACTCTGCGATAGCAAAAGCGCGCACATACGTGATAAGGAAATGGGATGGGAAAGAAATTTCTCAGTGGAAAGTATAAAAGCAACCTCTTGCATCCACCCACAATACAAATGGAGGCCAAAACACTTTGCCTAGAAAACTAACTATACCTATTTGCACTTTTATTTGTTTTCTCTAGAAGGCAGATATCTCTATTCTGAGGATTTCTTTACGAAATGCCCAGCCATCCCTTGGTGATCTCAAGGAAGACAAGCCAGTTCCCACTTCCACTTGAGATGCAGCTGTTCCACAGCCTCATGCCTTGTTCAGGCCAGTGGAAGTGCAGACTTTCAGATTGCTCTTTAAAGCTCACTTCTTATTATTTCTAAAATAATTTAAAAGCTTCACATTTGCAAGCTGAGACACAGCAGAAGCCTGGAAACAGACCTAAAAGATATTTAAAACTGGAGCCTGTGCACCCACAACATGCAAATTAACATTGCTGGCTGCAGCAAAGCAAGCTAGGTGCGCCGCTGGTAAATGGAGGAGATATTCATATACAGTATTACAATTTACATTATCAAGAGAGACTACAGCTTGCCTGTGCTACTACATAATCCTCACTGATGACTAGAAACTAAAGTAAGGATACATATGTAGTTTACAGTGAAAGCTGCCCCCAACTCAAAGGCATCAACCTTCTTCTGCACTTCAGTCCTAACAAGGCAGTATCTTACCTGAAACATTGATACCTCATAGTATAAGAAAAGCTCATCAGCACATTCACAGCTATCACTTCACAGTTATTTCAAGGTCAACGCAATGCAGAAGGAATATCTCAATGTTTCAAGAGCAATCAATCTTTATGGGGCAACCTTAACTAGTTGTGGATGAAATACTGGATTCCCTTCATCCTATCATGACCCCTGTGTAAGGAAGGAATAATCAATTTAGCCACATGTGTCTCTCCTTAAAGCATTTGTTTGTTTTCTTGTCTGCTTCCAGGGAAGTACAGGTATGCTGATCCAGGAAGCCTGGTACAAATTCGATTTCAGTACTATTGCTTCTAAAAAAGCAAGCAGGGTTTTACTAAAATAACGACTACTTTCTCCTCAGGTAAGTATTACCAAGCATCTCCAGCACTATCAAGTGCCCAAAAACCAAAGCAGATTGGTTCTGTCCCAGGCTGATGTGCCCATTCATAACATAAGCACATACTCACCATTCCTTGAAGTTCGTTGTCGGGTTCCTCTTCCAGTTACTAAAGAAAGGAAAGTTATTAGTCAGGATAGAGTACAACCTAGCATAACGGTTATTCACAGATGTTGCTACAATAAAAGCCTGACCTATTAAAATAAATGCTGCAAATGACTGTGCTGTATTTACAAGCATAATAACTACTCTCCTGCCCCCAAAAAACCTTTTTTTGTTTGTTTATATTGAATAATTCCTGAGAGATTACCCAGATGAACTGTTCTTAACAGTTATTATGGACCATTCCATATGTAGACAAACATCATCGATACTGTTTGTTGTTGATGGGGTTTATTTAAGCAGAAAATGGAAATATTTCAAAGCATTCAAATATTTTACATCATTGTTTACATAAATGTAATTTCTCCTTAATAATGTCATAATCCCAATTCTTTAAAGCAAAATACACTAGCATTACATTTCCATAACTGTTCTGCTCTGAAGTATTGTTTATTGCTTTGGGGTTTCAAGTGGAAAAAATCTCCAAGTCCAACAATCAAGAAAAAGCACCAAAAAAAATTGCAAAGTATCTCTGTGAATTCTTTAAGAACAGACAAAATGTTATCAGTATGTCCCCCTGCGTTTTTCACCAAGTCTAGTTACTGGAATATAAAAGACTAGAAAATTTTAGAATAGAAACTCAAATTCAGTTTTAATTATATTCCCTCCAAGCCTCAAGAGAATATACATGCAAAAATTTGTTCTCTCAGTAAGAAAATCACTGGGAAAAAAAATTCAAAATAAATAAAGATGACAGACATGCTTGCAATGTTTGGTTTAGAGCATCGCAAGACTTTAAAATCGTATGTTACCTGAGGATTTCCTATCAAAAGAAAAATAAGAATAAAAAGTAAGTATGAAATCTTAAGATACAAATCTATACACAAAACATAAAATACTTCTGTGTACACATTTTGCTACAGAGACAGGAGAAAAGCTATAGAAATATTTTACTGCAGTAACCATTTGAAATGTTGAGAAATACTTCACCAACACCTAAATACATTCCCTATTTTCATTGTAATACTCTGGATCTGAATGGTGGAAGTGGAATACAGCGATCCAGTAGTACTGCACTATACCATGTCTAATTCTCAGTCACACCTATTAAAGTCATGAAAATAGCCACTTGCCATGCAGCATTTTTGTCAACAGGCAAGATACAAAGCAGACAAACTACGTCAGTTTTGTCTGACATAGCCCATCTCACTTCAGTTGAAAAGCATCGGAAAAAGTGAGTGCAAGTTTCCAGTGGCCAAGCAACCTTCTTTATCACAGACAAGGGCAAGACCTCACACTTAAGAGGAGCAAGGATTCAGGGCAATGCAAAGTAAGCTGCAAATGCACTGGTTTTCACTTAGAGTAGCTGAAAGCTTTTAGTCCAAATTTTTGGTATCTGTTACTGGGGTTTGGGGTTCCCCCCCCACTTTGAGCTATATTGAACAACTTGGCTTACCTGGAGGTGCACTGTGCTTGTATTCTAGCTTGTGCTGTGGATTCTTCCTGTGAAGAAGAAAACAGTAGAAGCTTGATTTGCCACCTTGCTCCACACTTAACAAGCCCAGAATTCCATGGTTATTTTATGGATAATTTCAATTTCTTTTTAAAATATAATTCTGTGACCAACGCTTTACTGCAGTGTCTCAGCTTACAGAAAACAGGTTGGGAAAAAAATCAGATTAAATAAGAGTTCCACTTGTTTCACTATTTAAAAAAAACCACAAACCAAAAAACAAAATAGATGGCTGATCAAAACCAAGAGATGAGATAGTTTCCAAAGTTGTACGATAAGATGCATTTGTTCAGCATAATAAGAACTGATCCAATTATTTACTCTCACTAAAAATGAAACCAAAACATAATTTCTGGTGCATTAAGTACAATGCATGCACAGTGCATAGCAAGTCTGAGACATCCAGGCATAGCTTCCATATTCTGCAACATAAGGCTACAAATTAATTAGTTTGGAAAAATTAAAGAATTTGGAAAGAACTGCTTGGCTCAAAGCATCACAGGGAGAGGCCACAGGATTCTTCAGAGAGATTACTCATTGCTGCAGTATGCTGCTGCAATCCAGCAAGTTCAATTTACAAGTGTGCACGTCTTCTATTAAAAAAATAGCATCAAAGCAATGCAAGAAAAAATTCAAGGTCAGCTTCCCCTTGGATCTGCAATACATGGTCCTCTCACTCAGGGTATGATCCAGGTCATTAACACCCTGACTTATCCCACTCCCAAACAGTTATCCAATGCTGCTCTCATGTTTTAACTCGGTCCAACTTACACTAATGTGACAGATTAGCACAATGTGAGGTTTTTCTCAGGGCTGCATGTTAAAAAACTTTCAAGTCAATTTATTTTTGTGCAGAAAATTTTAAAAAATTCTAACTTTGGAAGACCAGTTCAGTGGTCCTAATTTTTGTTTCTGAAAATAAGCAACAGTTAAAACCCACTATTTAACAATGACATACCATATGACATTGCTTGAAACTTGTGATGAATTTCTGCAACTGTAGCAGTTTTTGTGTATTTTAAAAAATACCCTTGCTGTGAAGACTGCCCTGTAAAACTAATTGCTTATTTATGTTTCTTATACTTCAAAAATAGTATATAGCTACTCTTCAGTACGAAAATCTTACATTTGTGTAATATAACTTGTGACAAATTCACACACTTCAGGTTAATTCACAATTCTATAGCTACTGCTATATTATGTGTGCATTAGAGGTGATAGTTATCTGAATAAAAAAAAAATGTAAGTACAGCTTCCTATTAAATACACTGTGCTGAAATAAAGAGAATTGCCTATTTCCATGTTTTACTACTATCGTCAGCATCAGACCATTTGATCCCAACTCAAGGGATAGCATTTAGATCATTCAATTATGCTCCCTTCAAGTAGTAGCCAAGAGATAAAGACAACAAAAATAACACAAAGAACCCTTCAAGTTACATCTGCTGCTTCATTGAAAGAATTATCTTTGCTTTGTGCCTTTTTTCCTCTACCTCCAAAGAATAAAACACAGATTAAGAAATGATCAGCTCACACGGCATAGTTTCTGGAAGGAGAAACAGTTTTGGTTAAAACATCCACTGCACTCCTGAAAAAGTACGTTGGCAATTTCATTACAGGTATAAACCCAGATTTCTCATCCTGAGATGAGAATCCAACTCAAATATTTTTGAGAAGAGAAACACTTTTTCTGCATTAGCTGAATATAACATGGCTTTTTCTTAAAAGCTACCCTTATTTTGTTGTATTTCATAGAGAACACACTCTTTAGGATCACCACACTTTCTGGGATAGAGGAGAAAATGTTTCTGCTCAGGCACAATCTTTATTAACAGCAGCCATTAGTTTCAATATGCTCCCCCAGAAGTGCTATTGCCTCAAAATACATTCTTTTGTCCATGGTGTCAATTACTCAGCAGTCATTAAACTCTGCTACACAGAAGTGTAAAACCTAGATATTGAGAAACAAAATAAAATAAAACAATCTTTTGAAGAAAATCAATGCCACTTAGAAGAAATTATACCAGTCAGCCATAAACCGGATGTTATTGCTGTCACTTTAATTATGCTTTCTAACAAATCAAATACTGATTAAAATAGAGGGTTTGGATAAATTCTCAAATAATACTTTATCAAAATTTAAGCTAAAATTACATATCAAGAACAACATGTAACAAGAAATTATTGTTTATATTTAAAAAGAACAGTTTTCTACATGTTGACAAGTGAAAACGTGTTGATCTCTAGGTCACTTCCAAAAGTCAAGTTTTCATGTTCACCAGCTGAAATCATTAACAAGTATTTTGCACAGACTTTGGTACTTTAAAGGTAGCAGTCTGTCCACAGAAAATTTCAGAAGGCAGTGAGACTTTAGAAGGAGCCATAATGATATGCAGCATTCAAGGTTTAACATCAAGAATTATTCGTTATTCTATCGTCATTTCGTAACTCCAGGGGAGAACAGTCTTAACTTGTAAAACAAGAAAAGCCATTTTGTACAGCGCTTCTTACCTATAACAAGCCATTCCATATGGACATTCAGGCCTGTTATCATTGTTATCCTGAGTTACGATCTCCATTTCATGATAGTCGTCATCATTAGGGTGGCTGAACTGCTGAAAGTGAATGGGATTCTTCCTGCAAAAGACAAATATATATAGAAAACTGACTGTTCCATTTAAAAGTGAGAAGTGGAAGTAAGAAAGGCATTACTGAATCAGTGACAACTCATTTTTCTGTGGTTACATGAAGAGGAGCTTTGAACATTTAACTTCATGCAGAATGTAAGATTTCCTTTCAGGATGACAGAAGAAAAGCTTTGTCTCTGCACACGCTGCAAAAGAGGTTAAATCACGAATTTTCCTGTTTGTCATCAGCTTTACGTTTCAGACCTCCAACATGCACGCAATCTACTGATGTAGTCGTATAGCAATTGTATTCGGTGGACAACGTGCTTAGTTATGACCCCCTCTGGTGCTATCGAAGTGCTATAGAAACTTGTAAGTCTTAGCTCGAGTAGGAAGGGCCAACACGTGGGAGCTGAACAACTGCAGTACTAAAGGCTCCCCACACACTTGGTTATTGCATATTAGCTTCAGGCAATCTGTCTCAACTATTATTTCTGTTCTATATGCAAGTTACTGCTCACTTGAATACTTCAAATGCCAGAATATTATTGCAGATGGAGCAGTTTACTGGACATGACATTGATCATGCTGTCACATTTGGTTGGCCACCATGAATTTCTAATTGAAATATCAAATTACAATGATGACACGAAGTTATACCGTTAGACACAACAGCTCTGCATGTAGTGTCACACCGACATTAGTGATGAGAGTACATTACTAGCATCCATGACTTTTTGCTCTACAACACTTAGGCAGTTGAATCCAAGGTGCACAAGTAGGGAATACAAATACATGCATCATTGAAAGAACATTGCTCCTGCTTCTAGGCAATAGGTTTTGCTTACACACCATACAAGACAAAGCAGCTATGAACACCACCACTTGATAAGAGTTCGCTTTATAAAACTTCTGTAAGCAATATTAAAAAGAACACAGAAAAACAGGTTACGTTTTCAGGAGAAATTAACAGGACAGATCAAAACATACTACAAAAATTATATCAAAGCAAACACAATGATACCAAAAACAAATCTACTTTTTCCCTATGATTTCTTTAGGGACACTTTTTTTCCAAGCATAATATTTAAAAGCTAGAAGTGTGAAATATTATAATAGATGATACGCCAAAAGACTTCCACAAAATGCTTCAGTGATTTACCACACTAATCTCCAGAGTACATAATCTTCAGTGTGTTTATGCAAATCATAAAAGTGAACTACTTTCCCAAGCAAGAGGAATGACAACTTTAAACTGCAGAGCAGTTACTGCTTTAATTTACACTTGTAGCAGCTGCATTTAGAAACACAAAGCCAGAAACGTATATATGGCTAGCGACATACACAACAGCTTCCTCACTGATCCCAGGCATTCTTTCCTTTAAATTCACAACTACCTCTTATGAACTTTATAGGGAACAGCCAATGATAATTTCAGCATTTCAGCTACCACCATAAGAAAAAAAAGCTTTTGTTACAGCTTTTGCAAAATGATTACTTAAGCGCTGTGAGCTCTACTAACCATTTGGGCCTCCTTTTAAGCATTTGAAAAAGATATTTAGTATTAATACTTTAAATCTCCATTTGCCTGGTAGCTCAACAAGCAAGCTACAGATAAACTCTTCAATGAGCTACTTATCAAAGACTCAGTGTCCCTTGGATCTATTTACATAGGTGACGGACATCCTGCGCTGGTCTTTTCAGTTTGCAGAAATTAACAGTAGGGTAAGCAAATACGGTTTCACTCAAAATCACTGCGAGATTGCATTTACCAGTCATTTACTCTACCACAAGTTCTCAGGAAACGTCACCTACACCAAAATCAGGCTTGCTGCCTACTTATTTTTCCATTTAAAAATAAATGGGATGAAACAAAGTAATTTTAGAGGCTACTTGCTTTGTTTTCTAAATGCACAGAGCTAGCTTATTAGCAATATCAGCAAGACTTTTGAGTCATTTGAGACACAATTCATCTTCTCAAAGGGATACAGAAGCAACTAATGCTCTGTGAAATAATTTTTACGTTTATTCCTACAATAAGATACATGTAGCTTCATAGTCACCAAGGAAAGAAGGCATAATAGCCATCGTTTGGCCAATCTATTGTGTTTTAGGAGATACTAATTTCCTTTAAAAGATTTACTTTCAAACCTACTTGGAGAGCACCAAACCGCCCTTGTTGGAGGAGAGAGGGGAAAAAAAAAAAGAAAGAAAAAGAAAGTAGTATGGAAGGAAAAAGAAGGGAAACGAAAGGGTCTTGATGTACTCTCCCTATCACAAAGCTTCAGGATTCTATGGGCCAGTGAGATGATGCTCCTCAAATTATAGATTACCTGTGAAGCATCTTAAACATGCCCTACTTGCAATGCTCAGGACTAATAGAAACATCACATTTATCTTACCTTTACCTGGATAATTTGTACTTATTCCACTTCTGTGCGTTGTGCAACAATATCCAGCAAAATAAACAGAAGCAGAAAAGTGCATAGCTTATATTAAGCAAGCATTTTCCCTTCTTGCAAAAATCTAAAGCTTCTTCCTCTTATTAAGGGTTTGGTTTGTTTGAGGGGTTTTTAAATTATTTTTTTTTCAGACACAAGAGATTTGAGTTGTAAGAACACAACACCTATCACTGTGTAAGCTGCACTCCAAAGTTAATTAGTTTCAAAACTAAACCTGTCTACACAGGAACACGTTATGCATTTGATCAAAACAAAGTCATTAAGCTTTACTCATGCAAAAAATTAACCAACTAAATGCCTACTTTATTCTTAAAGTTCTATGAGAGTTACCTTCTCGTAAACATACTCGCACAGTTACTGCAACTTTGCTTTCACAGAAGCTCTGAATTTGTGTACTCACACTTCATGATGCAGAAAGTTAGGCAAATAAAAATTGCACAAATAAAACTGATAAAGTTCTTCAGAATCGATGGAGTCATCTCAAGCAGAAGTTGAGTATTGCTCAGTGAAATATTTAAGACAGTTTTTCATATGTGCAGCCACCAAAAGCAACTTAAAAGCTTTTTCTAAAGCAAGTTTAACTGATTTTGAAGAGCCAGGGCTTCTGACCTAATCACATGCAGAAGACCCCTGCCATCTGAAGGGCTTATTTTCTCAGCTACTACAGAAACTGGGAGGGAAAGTGTAATGAATTACCAGCACTAGTTATAAAGCCATAGAATTCAAGCCTGCAAGTACACCACAAGTGCACGTAAAAGTTCTAAATTGTAAGGCTTATTAGAAGACAGGACTCAAAAAAAGACAGATGCAGGTCATCAGCCACCAAATTTACAAGCTTGAGGTGAAAGGAAAAATACTTATTTTCATAAACAAAGAGCAAAGTATTTAGAAGAATGCACATACAAATCCAAAGGTTGGTTAAACATGCCCTGTTTTGACAGCTGTGGGAAAGATTTACACACCTCCAGTCAGCAGAGCACTGTATCACAGGCTAATAAAAGAAGTGTGGACAAAAGTTGTGCGTTACGGTTTTTGAAGATGAGAGTTCAGGTCTGCCACACTGCTTCTATGCAGCCCTTGAAAAGGGGAGTTGGGTTTGGATTTATTTTAAAATTTCCTGCTTTTGGAAAAACAAGCAGCAGACAAGAAAACGAACACAAGACAGTATTCAAAGAATAAGTTCCTTGACAACAAATACAGCCAGATGTAACATACACAGAGCACTTTGCCTCCTGGTGGTAATAGCAGTTTCTTTCAATTTGGTAAAGCTTCAAGCTACCTCAGAAAGAGAATCTGACACTGAAGGATGATTACAAGAAGAATCCCTGGACCAAGAGGTATGGATCCTGCTTGATTCTTTCAAATGCAGTGTTTTCAAATTCATAAATGAAGAAACTGAACTATGGGTTACAAAGTTATTTCCTAAGTGTTTAAGGTAGGTCTTGGAGAAATCTAATAAAATCAACAGAACTAACATTTACTCTTTTCAATTTGTGCTTTCTTACTAGGCATCTACCAAAGGTGCCAAAGTCACATCCAGAAGACAAGTATCTCTTAATAGGATTTTACAAAATAAACACTAGAACTCTGAAGAGCATCAGTTATTGGATAAATGACAATTTATGAATAAGAAACCTCACCTAGAAAAAAAAACTTTAAGGAAATGTTACGGTTACCAAAGCAGTACTCGTTTAAGAAGCTGACTCTTACAGCACATCTTGTTAGGAGACACCTTTCATAAGCTTAAAGTAATGAAGGAGAGGGAAACTAACTACCCATCATACTCAAAAGAGCACTCAAAGCAGCCCTTCTTCCTTAGCAACTCTAAAAAATAGGTTTTGCTCAAGGAAAACACTACACAATGAAAAACTGAATACGCAATCAATGTGTTCCTTCAAAGCACCCATTCACATCACATTTATGTACATGTTCTGTTAAAAATACGGGTAACTGCAATGACTTGCTTTACTCCACCATCTCTATCCCACTGATGCAGAAAGACTACTTGGTGGTCTTGTGTTGAAAGCAAATACTAAGACGGAATACAAAGCATATTTCCTTTGCTGCAAACAAGCAGGTTTAATCTCATGGCATTTCCTGAAGATCAAAGCTGATGTTTTTGATACTTCATCTTTACAAATTCCTCCAACAAAGTAAGATTTTGTTATGTGTTATTTCAAAGCGTTCTGTTTTCTTACAAAGCAATACTTTCCAAAAGTATTGCTGCCACACGGTTTAGAATAAAGATCCAAGAAGAAATGTGCACATGCAGACTCCTATTCCATATTATCCGAAACTAAAATTTGCCTTCCTAAACATTAGGAATCCTTCAGCATATCAGAGCATTAAATCAGCTTAACCCTCCATACAGGGGAAAACTTGTCTAAGTGAAATTAAAAGTAGCTGGAGCAAACTAGAGGCTGCATTTGTACTACTGGATGAGCTTAACTACCTAATAAAACATGTTTTCCTCATATTCATAAAGGGCAAAAATTGAGCTATGTGAAAGAAAGCTACATGAAAACTGGAAGTCTGATGTATTCATTAACCTAACAGCTTTTTGTTTTTGATTTACACGGTTATCTGCAGCATTAGGCAGACCAACCAGATACAAGAACCCATTTACTTGTGCTTGCTTGTTTTCTAAACCACCTCACTGTTTTTCCTATTGGTCAAGCCCCTTAGAGGGAGGGAAAATAAAATAATAATGGAAAAAAAATAATCACAGGATCCACTGTTTCCTAGCTTGGCCTTATCTTTTGTGCTTTCAATGCACATGGTTTAACTAGAGCTCAAAGCCTTCCCCTAAATGCAGTTCTCAGGTGATCAGTCATTTGCTAGCCTTAAGACCACCTCTAGATTTCTATCTTCCCTTTGATACATCAACACACAGCATTCCAGATCTTTTCCGGGCAGAAAGAACTAGCAAAAGACCAGACACTCAGCACTGGTGTTCTGGAACATCTGTATCACACAGAACATTTGTATGACTGATCATTCACTATGAATTGAGAGGATATGAGTGGGAGAAAAAGAAAGAACAAGAAAAAAATGCTCTTCAGTTGAAGTATTACCAAAGATGCTGACCAGGTAAGGGTTAACATGGAGTTTGTAAGTATGTCTTGTTATGTTTTTAGGGAGGGAGTGAAAGACAAAGAAAAAAACCCAGACTGGCCGAGTTATAATAAACGTAATTTTTGATTATTTAGGGATGACAGATAATAAGTATTTTAAATATTCAGATCACAAAGCATGCAAGTACTTCAAGATATACAATTCATCTTTCATAAAAGTTTCATCTGCTAATAAAACAAGCCTACAGGCTCTATGCTGGGCATTTCAACCATTTACCTCTCTTCTCCCTCCTGGTACCTGCACTTGGCTGCTACACGCAGGGAGATTTTATTGTTTTTCTTTTTTAAAATGGACCTTTGTTTTTTATTTCTTACAACATTTCATCCTTTAATTTGTTGAAGTACTTCATCCGTTGTTTGGGTTATATTAGAAGTTAGCAAGACATCCTGGCTCCTCCTTTTATACTTCAAAAATTCTTGTTATGCCATTTCTTTCTCATCGCTCCCGTGCTTACCAAAAGATTTTTTTCAAATCAAAGCTTCAAACGACATTACTGTTTTCTCTTCCACAGCTAATACATTACTTCTTAATAATAAGCTATCTTAAGCTAGTTTTAATTTTGCTTTACCTGTAACAGCCTGTTCCATACATGCAAGGTGTCCTCTTACGCTTGATCTGTTTGGAGCTTTCTGAAGCATCCGCACTTCTGGTTGAATCAGAAATCTCAGTCTCGTAATCCAGATTTGCATCAGGCTCAAGAATCCCTTCCTGGGCACCAAAATATTGGGAAGTCCTGCCCCAGTGAGCTTGTTGGCTTGTAGAACCAGTAATCTGCTCTTTGTTTTCTGTTTCCTCAATTCTATTTGTTTTACTGGAGATCTGACCTATTCTTTTGGACAATTTACTATGCAGCTGCCTATCATTTTTTTCCAGAGAACTTCCACGGGTTTTTGTTCCAGTCTTGCCATTTCCTTCCATGTTTCTCATGGTACTCTCAAGAGGAAATCCAGATGTATTCTGTGGAACAAGGTTACATTTTGAAGGACCTGAAAATTTACACTCTTCAGAATTAAAAGCTTTAAGGTCAAACCCTGCCTCAATCTCATCATTCTAGTTTTCAAAATCAGAGAAACATAGAACAGCCCAGGTTGGAAGGGACCTCGAAAGATCATCTGGTCCAGCCTTTAAAAATCTTCTACTCTACCTTCCAAACTCAAGCTAGCTGCTAAATGAAAGGCTCAAGGTAAGAACACACACAGGCAATTTAAAGAAAAACTTATCCTAGAGCTCCTGTCCTCACCTTCGGTTCCCTCACAACAGTCAGGCTCCTCTCTAACCACCTCAGTTTGTGACTAGTCCAAGGACTTTAGCCTAAATTAACTTTCAATTAAAAGTCCTGCTCCTGAAAAGAAATGAATGGGAGTTATACATGTGACTCTAGAAGAAATATATTTATCTACATATGGGAATTCACAATATATACCTTGAACTTAATCCCACCCCAATATATCTTAAATGCTTCAGCTCATGACTCTAAATCACAAAGCAGTTTGTCAGTAGATACCATCAGGCAAAGATTTCACTTGTGAGAAATACTGCAGTTTAAATTTTTGAACATATGTACACTTAAAATAAGAGATGTGTGCTTTAGAAAAAGAATATGAGATACCTAACCAAGACAGGAACATGGTCCCAACAATATTAAGACATTACCTGGAAGCATACCTTCATCAAAGGCTGAACTACTGTGATACACTACAGGACTATTCATAGGTCTCTGCTCTCTACAGTTTATTATCTAAGTTCCCCCTCCAGTAAATCTATACTTAGTTTATATGGATACATTTGGCAGAGTTTGAAAATCAGCTGGTGGTTTCCTATTTGATTTTGTTCCTTTCAATGCGAGTCTAACAAATTGTTAGCCAAAACCAGAGAAAATTACATTTGAGCAGCAGTGTGATTAAGAAAGGGCAAAGACAACATTAATATCAAGTGATCCTGACAGCAGCATATTTAGCAAGTCAACTCGGAGACAGGGATGACTCTTCTATCGAGACTCCCAAAATAAGGCTCAGCAAACAACTGCAGTTTAGGAAATAAGCCTTCATTCCCAGAAAAAGGACTAAATTACTTTAACTAATTTAGCACTCCCACTTGTGCCTTCTCTCCGTTACATAATTCAACCTATTGCCTACATTGTATCTAATAAGAGTAAACACTTTCAGTTTTGTTGTGGTAAGTAGTTAAAAACCGGGTAGCAATCAAGAAAAACCAGAGGCAACAGCACTGTTGGCACAGGTTATAGCACGTGTGTGACCTCACTGCCATCTGGTGGCTGCTGACGCTTCGAAGAATTAAGATTCTTTTTACATCCTACCCTACAGCAGATTTTTCTCGATTGCCTTAAATATGACAGCAGGAGAGTGATGTTAGTTTTGATATCAAAATTCCAATCTTTTAGAGCTCTCTATGATTATTACTTTTGCTTGCACTAACCCGTTACTTTTTCTGCAAAGTTCTGAAAGCAATTTCTTACACTGTGTGTAAGATAAAAGTGATTTATGAAATTATTAGGAGAAAATAAGTACAGCTTCATACTTACAAATTGCAAAATGAAATAATGAGTTATGTAGTCACTCACCTTATAATTTGACAGAGAGAAAATGGCACTGCAGCTGGTATTAATGTACCCAGCCAACAAAGCTCACCAGTCAGAACCCTTTTTCAGATTAAAAGATTCCACTATGTTAAATCAAAACTACCCTGAAGGGTATGCTCTCTGAGAGTAGATAATTTCAATTAACCTTAAGATTTAATTAAACAACAAAACCAACCCCCAATTGTTTTCAGAGTCAAAACCAATGAAGCATATCAAATAATAGTATTTTAACTATTTTATCTGATCCTGTAACAGATTCAGGCAGTTCTAATGCTATTAGAAACCCCTCCCCAGGTTGTTCACCTAAAGGAAAAGTCAGTGAAAGCCTCAGTTTGCTCTCACCAGAATACGTCTTGTTTGTCTTTGATAATGATTCTTCTCTTTTCATAGATAGCAGGGTGCTATCAGTAAGTATTTAACTGCCTGTAAAAGCAGCTGTAGTTTGAGGACACACAGACTCATTGACTGAAATGTCTGCTCACTCATTGTCATAGATCATTTTGGATTTCAAGATTACCTTTTTTCCCTTTCCTTTTTTTTGACTCAGATTTTGACATAGCGGCATAAACACACTCCCTGCTCTTTTTCTTCAAAACACAGCAGTTGCTAAACCACATACCCTAATTTTCTGACCATAAAACTTCACCAACTAGGATGGCACTAGTTTGGGCAATGTCCAGTGTTGGATTACCTCAGTGTCATACTACCACCTATCCCTAAAGCGTTCTCAGAAAAAGAGCCACAAACCAAGCCACTCCCAGGACCAGTACTTTGGCCTATGTCTTCCAGCCTCTTGCTGTAAAGCTCAAAGTGTGGTATTTCTGTGGAACGTTCCAGGCCTAAATCCCAGATCCTGAGAAGGAAGTGCAGAAAACCAAGTCTCTGCAGGCTTCCAGGATCCTTGCTGTAGAGCTATCCAATGGACTGGCATTCCAAAACAACTGTTAAACAACAAATCACAAGCAGAACACATAGACCCAACCTTCACCATGACATTCCCAACTACATTCTCATTTTTTGAAACACCATGGCTCTGCCCTCGAACCAAAAAATTACCTGAGATGAAGGGATGGCAAGACAGCTCCTTCTCCCTTGATCTTGCTCTTCACCTTCAAAATCCTCTATAGTTTCTTCAGAGGCTAATCTTCTCTTCTGCTGCACATTTACTTCTGGTTTTAATGACTCCATATTACTTTCTCCCCTTCCTTGGTCTTTTTTCATTCTACTACCTTAAAAGAAACATAAAAGGGTACTTTTGGAATGCAACTTTTACAGTGAAATCCCGACCACATTAGAAATCTAAAGCTACATCGAAGAAGAACACTGGGCAAAAAGCATGAGAAATAGCAGCAGTTGTGCATGTGCTGTTTCAACAACGCATTTTTCGCTTCCTGCTTAGAATGTTTTAGAATGAAACAGATGTTTGAGAGGGAAATTTGGAGGAAAACAATAAATATGTGGCAAAGGATATTCTGGACTGACTGTATCAGTATGACTGACAATTTCTTTTACGCAATAGGAGCTTATCAACTAAACTACACGTCCAAGGATGACTTTTACCACAGACCTTTTGTACAAGTATCACATTAGATTACCAGTTTATACACACAAACATCAATTAATTAGGACATGGCAAAAATCAGGGTATGCCCACTTGCCTAGTCAGCTACATCACGGTTGATTATTTCATCAGCCAGTAACTGACAGAAAGACAGTGAATGTTGCGTCTCTCTTTGGAAAGCTTCACATCCCAGGAAACTGTAAGATCTCTGTACTGAAGTAGTATTTTCTGGATATACAGCTGGGAGACAGCCAGGGCCATTGTCCTGGTTTTGTTATAGCTCCATCTGCTGCAAAACACATTCAGAAGATACTTGATGCCATTTTGCAAGACTTCAAAACCTCTGTCCCTTCAAAAAAAATACTTACATGCCAGAGTCATTTGTATAAAGCAAAGATTTTTTCCAAATTTTAACGCCTGACTTCCAAACAACAAATCAGTGCTACTTTTCCAGTAGGAAGATGGACAGAAGAAAAATAAAAGGGTAGCCTTTTAGTTTTACTCTCTACCTTTCTACCTTCCCATCCAATGCCACCCTAAAAAGGTGCAAATCATTTCACAATTTTAAGGAAATATTTCAGATTTGCAGGAGAGATTGGTTGTTTTATTAAAGTGGCCCATTCTAAGCTGGAATCATTATCTCATGTAATGACTTTTTAAATGGCTCCAAGAGCGTTCGTATGTATCCCTAGCTCCCTCGAGCTCAGGTCTTCAGCAGAATGACAGAAACGCTGGGGGAGGTTGTTAACATACATAGTCATTTTCCTTTTCTTCTCTCATTCCTTTAGTCCTCCAGTTCCATCGATAAAAGTCAGCACAGCCATAAATGCCTTGCGGTAAGTTTGTCAGAGAATATCTAATGGCAGTTTTAGAACTCTTTACAAGCTCCCAGGACCAAAGCCAGGTATGCTAGAAAATTTTCTTGGGATTGTGCCAATGCAGCACCCTTGTGTCTCCAGTTGATAGAGACTAAACACAGTATTCTGCCGCTGTTACCTCTGATAGACAGCGGCAGAAGTTTATCGTACACTCTGCAATTTCCTTTTGTGGGAAGGACAACAGGGAATCCAGTATTATTTTAGCCTCATACTGGTAAGAAACTACTATACTGTGATGAACTGCTCCTCCTAGGTAGAAACTTTGAACGAAGCGATCAAGTTTGATTCACAGTTAAATACTAACACATACTGCCACCCAAAAAACCCCCCACCTTCAAAACCTGTGAAATCAGAAGTATGTAAATTTAGAAGGGCAATGACTTAAATGTGGAGAAAGGCTTGGAATTAAAAGTCCAGAAAATACCTAGAATTTACATACTTAACAAAACAGGTGAGTTTATAGGAAAGGGCTTCAGAACATCAGATGTTCAGCTGTCCAAGCAGCCTATATTTCCTGGTATTAAAACAGAAGGAAAATCAATTGATCAGAAAGAGCTCTGTCACACCCATAGGACTGGTGACAAAGGAGACAACAGAAGTCAGTCTCTGTCAGCTGCCAGGCACAAAACACAGAAAGAGAAGTAACAAATTAATACTTTCTACTACCACAATTATAATTTAAGAAAATGAGATCAAAGCACATAAATGTATATTGGTATGCAAACGTACTACATTGCAAACCTACCTCCTTTCATTACAGGCTCAGAAATCCTCTGAACCAGGAGGTCCTTTTCCAGCATCCAAGATGGAAGCACTCTCTTCCTTTGAATAGATCTTGATTCTTCACTATCATTATCATCAGAAAGAGGAAGCTGAAACAATATTTACCATTTAATACCTTTTTCCAGTTACAAAAGAGGTGGAAAAAACTAGAACACAAGTTCGTACGTAGTTATGTCCTTCAAACACAGCTTGGATAACTACCCACTTTTTGGATGGTACCCATTGCCTGATTTTTTTTTCTTTTTTTTTTTTTTTTTTACAGTTCCTACTCAGAACTCAGAAAAATAACATCTATAGAAATCTTCATGTAGTAAAAAAAACCTTCTTAGAGCTTTGGAATAAATATCTAAAAGGCTACAGACTGAAAGTTTCATAGAAGAGCTATATCAGTATCTTGACATAGAGTTTCAACACAGAAATAAGAGAAAGAGGAGGTTTAACAAACAAACGCTTATTTGACAAAAAAAATCTAGAAAAGTCTTGCCAGCACCCTCTCAATTCCTTTCTCCAGAAAGAATAAACAAATTAAACACACCACCAGGAATCTCAGCTACAGCAAAGGCTGACATTTCATTTGTTGTACATAGTTATCTACTGTACGATGATGTCGACCAATGTGTCCTTTTTAGCACTATATTGCTGGACACGCAACAGACCACCTAAGAAAAAGCCCACTGGCTCCATACACTATTTATGAGACTGTCCGAAAGCCATTTTTACTCAGCAACGTTTAAAAAAAGCAAAAGAAGCTTGCTTTGAAAATTCTAATTTGCTGAACAAGACACTAGCTGCCAGGGAAAAACAGGAGGGTTATTTATCCGTGCGTTTGTACGGATCTTGACAACACAACTCCATCACAACTGCAGGATTCAAGTAAAAGGGCTGCTAGTACACTATAAACAGATATTATAGGCAGCACAAGGTATCTACAGCCCAACTGCACACTCTCCAGATATAAATTTCAGATGCTTTTAGGCTGGTTAGGAGAACAGTCATTCATTCCCTAGGCCTCACAGGTACTTACAGCACAGTAACTGACACAGACAGGGACCACAACTGGGCTTTGTTCTGTAGTACTGAACTCAGCTATCGCATTGTTAGTTCAAAATATTCCCCTAGCAATAGCAATTTTTGTATATTCCAGAGAAACAATTACTGCAGCGTAATTATCATAAACATAAATACACAACAGAAATGTATTTATATACTTGTATAGCATACAATCCCAAGCGATGAAAAGACAGATATTTTGAGTGTACAACTTTGCCAGAGTTAACTTCTCGGGGGGGAAAAAGGTTTAGAAAACACAACACCTTTACTTCATTTTCAACACATGCTTACAAATATTAAATTTAATTTAAAAATTAAGCACTCACCAAATGCCTGGAAGCAGCGCCGTTTTTTCTCATTTTTGTGGTTCCCTGTATCTCAGAGTTTGAACGTATCGATTCTATTAACGAGGGACTACAGGACATCTCAACAGGATGAGCAGTTGGTGCTTCTGCATCAGCCTTCTGATTTTTTTTCTGACAAAGCAAAATAATTTTTAGCTAGTCAAACTCACCGCAAATAAAAACATGTACTTTTTACTCAAACATGGGGGTTGGTCCAAAGGTTTGCTATTAATACACTTCTAAACTGAATGTAACATACTCTCACATCAACTTACAGAGGAAATAAACGTGCCTTCCTGTCTACCTTCCACTGAAAGTACTTTGAACAAAAGATTTTCCAATCACTGCTGACCACTACTATAATGTTTTGGGTTTTAAGTACACAATTTATACTAGTCACTGCTACGACAAAACTTTGAGAAAGCTGAAATCACAACTTGGAATTTGCTTTACCATAAACCAGTGCAACTTGCCAAAACTGGACTCTATACTAAAAGCTGGGTAACAGCGTTAAGATACAATTTTCAGGATCGGACACCCAATGAATCCAGCACTTCTTGGCAAGTTCTCACCAAAGGCTACAAGCCCACAGCTCTGAGGTGACACCACATACTCAGGTGGCTGAAACTGGTTTTAAAAGCCTCAGCTCAGAGGCGCCACATCTGAAATGCTTTCCAGCCGTGAAAGTACACTACAACCGTTTTTCCTTTCCAACGCTTTGCCCTTCCACTAGTCAATTCAGTGGCACAAAGGCTAATGGGAAAAAAAAATAAATCTAATTACTGCTGTGTTCACTGCACAGCATCACTTGGGAGTCATTGCTGCCCCTTCCACAGCGTTTTGCACCACAGGGAAGGCACAAGCTGACCAGCTGCACTGTTGTTCGTTGCCTCACGAACAGAAACACAAGAGGCCAAGCTCTGACTGACCGACACACGCCCCCACACCACCTCACACACACCCCCCTTCCCAAACGGGCCCCTCCAGGTGCTTCGCGAGAGGTTTCGGTTCTGCCCGGGCTCCCCCGGTGCAACGAGCCCGGACCCGGAGCTCCAGTTCGCGCCCCTCTAAGCACAGCGCATCAAGACATAAACCAACCCTGACCTCGGAGCGGGGGAGAGGCCGTCCGCAGCACACCGGTGGCGGGGAGCTGCACCCTTCCCCTCACGGGAGGCCGG